CTTAAAAAGATTTTAAGCCATGTGAAAGAAGCGTATCCACTCTAATTCTTTGGTTTTGTAAAACATATTTTTACTCTATATCGACTGTTGCCTGATTGGCTAATACTTCTCAAGATCATTCAACCGGGTTTGTTGTGAGATAGTAACTCACTGATGACAAAGGTGGATGTATCGCTCAATTTCGTGGATTAGTTGAAGTAAGACATTAACACAGTTGGATACAGACTCACTAGTCTAGTGGTTAAGTACTTGCGCACGAGACTGACAGGTCCTGGGTTCGAACCTCACGAGGCTAGGAACTCGTCAGTTCGAAATGCGACTAATTGCCTTGGATAGAGAAACGAAAACTATTATATCAGGTGATTGGTTGACAAGCTTGAAAGAAAGAGAGAAGATAACTCAACTAGAACATTGTTCAACTTATTCCTGATTCACAATTTGATTTGATCCCGATTCAAATTCGTGCATAAAAAGATACATGAATAAGTAGATGATTTCAAAATTTGAGAAATTTCCATTTTCTAAATTAGAACAACATAGATATAAATGAACAATATTGTTTTCAATTACATCTTTACTAGGTTCTACCCTAATATACAGTGGAATGAATTACATAACAAGGTGAATGTTGTGAAATAGTTAATAGTATCAGAAGGGGTTTTGTGGAGATTGTAATAATTTCAACAGTTGAGATCATGAGTTAATTGAAGTTAGACCACCATGAAAAACCTGGAAGCACTGGTTAATCTCCTGGCTGGAGACTGATAAGTCCTGAGTTCAAATCCAGCGAGACGGGGTCGTGGATGCGCACTGCTGAGGAGTCCCAAAATAGGACGAAACGGCCGTCTAGTGCTTCCAGGTTTTCCATGGTGGTCTAGCTTCAACTGACTCATGATTTCAACTGTTGAAATAGTTATTACTCAAATGCACCATGAATGTGAATTTCATGTTCAATGGTGAAATATATAAACAAACAGATGGTGTTACAATAGGTTCACCATTGGACTCTATACTAGCTGACATTTTTCTAGCCGAAATTAGAAAATGGTCCACTAAAAAAGATTATTCAAAAATTCACATTTTACTATAGATATATGGATGACACGTTCGTCTTCTGTGTAAAGATAATACATCACAGTAAGAGGTTATTAGGCGATTTAATGAAGTGCATCCAGCCATTCAGTTTACATCTTAAGAAGAGAGTGATGGTGGAATAGACTTTTTAGATATTGTCTTAATTAAAAGAGTGGATGGATCATTAAAAAGGAACTTAAATAGAAAAAGTACATGGACTGGGCAGTATACACATTTTCTTAGTTTTGTACCTCTACAGTAAAAACGAAACTTGATCAAAACCCTTAGTTACTGTATACGCACTATATGTTCTGGATTCATTCTACTATTGTTCCTCTCACCCTATCTGACCCATATTTATTTGGATCATGGATCATAACATTTTCACTTCACATATATGCAGATTTAAGTTAACATTCCATATGAATTATATCAACAATAACAATTTTATTGTATCTTAAATTCACCTGGCATTGTTTGATTGAATCTTCCCATTGATCTCTTTAGGACCGCAATTGATCAGTCTCTTATTGGCATATGTGAATCTTGTGCAGATTGCCTTGATATAGCCTTAAGTCACAAGTATTATAAGCAAAGATGGATAGTGACTAGCAGTGGAATCCCGTTTGACGCGCGTTTCGTCCTATTTGGGACTCGTCAACTGAATGTATCTACTCCTCAGAGTTGATACTCACTCCACTATCCATGTTTGGTTAAAAAGCTTATGACTTAAGGCTATATCGAGGCAATCCTCACATGATGCACATATTCCAACATGAGACTGATCAATTGCAGTCTTAAATAACAATGGGAAAATACAAGTAAAACAACACCAAACGAATTTAAACTTCACCCCAATACACAAGCAAATAGCTATCAGGATTCAGTAGCTAAGTGAATAACGTGATGGCGTTTGAAGCGAACGGTACTGGTTTCGAGTGACTCTCGGAGTGGATATGAACTCTGATATGTGACAGTACATCTAGCTGACGAGTCCTAAATAGGATGAATCGCGCTTTATCCTGGATTCCACTGCTAGTCACTATCCACCTTTTATTGTATTTTGTTTAACAATCCTAAATTCACATGCTTTAAACGATGTACTTTGCCATTAACCTGCTCATTTTTTGGATTATTGAATTGCAGAACCTGAAGAGAATTGATTGTAAAGGATATTCTTCGTTCATATATTAGTCTTTTAAAGTGAAAAGTACAAATTAGTAGTGTGATGATAGGTGTACTAATTATGATAAGAATAATAAAGGCTTGAATCAATCACTTTAAATGACTTATTTCTGTCCGTTACATGACCGCTATCAATCAAGTGTGTGTATCATTTTAACAGTACTTTTCCTAACCACAAAACTGGGGAATGTTCATTAATTCTTTAGTTCAGTTGTTTGGTAGTGCGCCCAATATAGTTTTCTTCATTGGAGCACTTGAATTCGTAGATACACATAGAATCGGCATAACCAGGTAACTTATCCTTTAGTTAAGGAATCACCATAAACTGGGTCGAATAGGATAGACAGAAGTTGGCTGCATTAAACGTTCTCTTCACTGCTCTAGTCAGTCTATCACGAAGAGAGGTTTCCTGCTAACCATTGATATCGCTATTTTCTTGTTTGTTACACGGCAAGTGTTTCTTCAGGAAACCTTGTGGATAACCCATCTCATAAACTGCCTTTATTGAACTGATAAGAATCTAATGGAAAACAATATTGTTCTCTTACATATATGTTGTACTAAATAGATAACTAACATGACCATAATGCATAAACAATTTTAAAAAAACAAACAATTATTTCAATAGTTGAGATCATGAGTCAATTAAAGCTAGACAACTATGGAAAACCTGGAAGCACTGGACGACCGTTTCATCCTATTGTGGGACTCCTCACAGAGTACATTCACGACCTCGCCTCATGAGATTCGAACCCAAGACCTATCAGGTTCGCGCGTGAGCCTTTAACCACTAGACCAGAATTACTACAATCTCCACAAAACCCCTTCTGATACAAATACAATTATGTTCAAAACTAGTGATTAGAGTAGAAAAAATAAAGCACAAAAGACTACGTTTAAATTACAATAGCTTTGGAATAGAAAAGGGTATGACAGTGAAACATACATCAAACAAAAGCTTATGATTTGTAGAATAGATTAGGGACAAACATAAATGTTAGTGTTTTACAAGCTTTGAATTAAGTGGAATAACTTCACTTAAAAATAGCTTTCATTGTTTGTTATGACTTCTTTACTTCTCTATTCATATCAATCTCATACCGACAATTATGAAATACTAAACTCTATCATGTTATACACCTGTAGGATAGAATGATTAAGAGAAATTAGAATTACGCGTTAGTGGTGTCAAACTAAACTCAACAATCTCCATAACCCTATACTGATAATTATCATGTGTTCATTAGTGACTAGCTTCAAGATGGATTTCTCGGAGTTCTAGTCAGAAGCCGTGAATAGTGGAGTTCAACCAAGGTCTGTTGTAAGTCAATTACTCAATGAAGACAATGATGGACGGTCGCGCGATTGAGTGAATTGATTGAAGTTAGACGTAAACACCGCTCAGTGGTCTAGAAACTAAGCGCTCGCACGCTAGGCCGAATGCTTTGGTTTCGAGTCCTACATACGAGATCGTACATGAACACTGCTGGGTAGTTCCATACTAGGATGAAAAGGCCGTCCAGTGTTTACAGGTTTCCGGTGATAGTCTAACATTGATCTATTCACGATATCAATCTAAACTCAGACTAAACTGTGTCATTTTATTCTGTCAAGAATGAATCGGTATAACATTGGTTAATACCATGTTATATACCCGTAGGATAGAAGTGTTAACAGGAATTAGAATTGCATGTTAGTATTTCTTTCTTAGTTTCTCTGTAGAACTAATAAATCATTAGTCAGTTGACAAATAATATTTTCAGAAATGGGTTTTATGGAGACTGTAGTAATTTAGTAATTGAATTCATGAATGGATTTACACTGCTGAGGAGTCCTAAAGTAGGATGAAACAGTCGTCTAGTACTTCCAGGTTTTCCAAGGTGGTCTAGCTTTATGAATCCAACTATTACCAATGTTTTATTGAGTCAATAAATTACTTTTTTACTGCCTATTCTGACTTTCCTTTATTTCGTTGAAAGCTAAACAGTGAATGATGGTTTCTGTGTAATAGTTAACAAGCTTTCAAAAGATTAATCACTATGCAGATACATCATCATCATCATAAATCTGCATATAAAACAGTGGTTGTCTCTTGGTTTGTTGTTCTCAATTTGATTATCGTTTAAAATCACCTTGTTTACTGATAGGATTTGATCTATAGACGTTTCATTTAATTCCCTATATCCAAGATGATTTTATACTGATCGTGAAATTAGTCAGTTACAAATCAATGGTACAAATTGTAGATATCAATGATCGATCGAAAATGGAATACCCGACAGCAGACAGTTGAGCAAATCGAAGAGAGGTGAACAAGAACACAGAATGATTAGAATGATAATGAAGAAATAACATAGTGTGAGACAATTGGTCTAGTGTATGCTACTGATATGGACAGATATGAGTAGTAGGTATCATCAATCGAAAATGAAATACCTGACAGCAGACGGTTGAGCAAATCAAAGAGAGGTGAACGAGAACACAGAATGATTAGAAGGAACAATGAATTGTGTGGTCGTTGATTGACATTTTCCAAATGAAAGACTTCCAAGTGATTTTGTATGAGAACACTAGAATCATTGAATTAATCAATCACCTAAATATTATATTACTTACTAACTAACAAGAAATAAGTAATATATCTTATCTTTGTTATAAAATCACATTTTTTGTTTCAAAAGTTTCCTTTTTATTTATGCTACATTTATTGAAGACATTAATCGATAATTGACCTTTATTCACTAACATACATGACTCATTATCGATCATAATTTTTTCTTCTTCAAAGGTCGTCAATACACAATTGTAGTTATAGTAACGGGCTGACCTTGATAAACGTATTAACCAATCAGAGTGAAGTATTCTTGTTTTTTGTACATTGAGTCATTGATTAAAACAAATTATATATATATATATATATATATATCTGGATATGTTGTACAATATTTAAAATATGGTATCTATTTGATAATTTACATATTGTATCATGTCTATTACACATGAAAATTTAGATTATTCAGGAAATTGTAATGATTATAATAATGATGATGATGATCGAGATCATGATTATAATGATCATATAGAAAGAAACAATTTAATCAATGGATATACTACTGATGAAATTAATTATGAACAAATGAAAAAATGTTATAATTCAACTAATCAATTATATAATATGGAACCAGAATTAATTGGATTTGTACAAAAACATAATGTAGTTATGGATGATGGAGCAGTTATTAATAAAATGGCATTATTAAAACAAACTATATTAAATAAAAAAAATCAAAAGTAATTGATTTTTAATTATTGAAAAGTATTAATTGAATAATTTATTGATTATTATAATTGATTAGTGTTTTTTTTTACTTGTATCTTCCCATTGAGGTTTTAAAACTGATCAATTGATCAGTCTGTTAGTGGTATATGTGCATCTTATGTGTAATGTCTCGATATTGCCTTCATTCATAAGCTTTTTTGTAAGCAATGATGGATAGTGGTTAGCAGTGGAATCCAGTTTGACGCGCATTTCGTCCTATTTGGGACTCGTCAGCTCGATGTACCTGCATCTCAGAGTTGATGTTCACTCTGGGACTCGAACCCAGTACAATTCACTTGCAAACGCCATCACGTTATTCACTTAGCTACTGAGTCCTGATAGCCACATGCTTGTGCAATGGGATGAATTTAAATTCACTTGGTATTGTTTAGCTTGTATCTACCCATTGAGGTTTAAGACTACAATTGATCAGTCCAGCTGACGTGTCCCAAATAGGATGAAATGCGCGTTCTGGATTTCACTGCTAGCTACTATCCATGATTGCTTATTAGTGTTATGTTTTTTGTTGATACTTATATATTGATATTTATGGATCACATAGGACAAATTCATGAAGATATTGATAAATGAATTGAGTCATGTTGATACATGTAGACTATCTGGTCAGAATTCAGGAGATGATCACAATTGATGGTTGATTCAAAAAGCCTATCTATTGGTCATGGTTCAAAGTAGATTGTAATGGCACAGATGCATCTACTCTTTGTGATCTACCAAATTCTAATCTTTTGAATTTTTCATGTCTCTTATTTTTTCTCTCTCCAAATTTATTTCAATGGATTATACTCATTGAATAAAATCTTCAAACGCTAATTTTTTCGATTACTGCTTATACTCTTACTAACTCTACCACTATGACCCTTCTATCTCAAACGCAACAACAAATGCAGGAGAAGACGAACAGTGTAGTAGCAGCCTCAGCAGCGGGTCTCAATATACACAAAGGGAAAAGCAGGATTCTCCGATACAACACAGAATGCACCAATCCAATCACAATTGACGAAGAAGATTTGGAAGATGTAAAAACCTTTACATATCTGGGCAGCATCATTGATGAACAGGGTGGATCTGATGCAGATATGAAAGCGCGGATCGGCAAAGCAAGAGCAGCATATTTACAACTGAGGAACATCTGGAACTCAACGCAACTATCAACCAACACCAAGGTCAGGATTTTCAATACAAATGTCAAGACAGTTCTACTGTATGGTCAGAGGAGAACTACGAAAGCCATCATCCAGAAAATACAGGTGTTTATTAACAGTTGTCTACGCAAAATACTTCAGATCCGTTCGCCGGACACTATTAGCACCAACGTACTGTGAGAGAGAACAAACCAGATCCCAGCGGAGGAAGAAATCAGGAAGAAGCGCTGGAAGTGGATAGGACACACATTGAGGAAAGCACCCAACTGCGCCACAAATCAAGCCCTCACATGGAATCCTGAAGGCCAAAGGAAAAGAGGAAGACGAAAGGACACATTACGCCGAGAAATGGAAATAGACATGAGAAAACTGAACAAGAATTGGATGGAACTAAAAAGAAGGCCCAGGACAGAGTGGGTTAGAGAATGGTGGTCGGTGGCCTATGTTCCATTAGGAGTAACAGGCGTAAGTAAGTAAGTAAGTAAGTACCTCTACCACTATGGGATTTAAATGGACAATTGTATGTGTGGTAATGTGGTATGGCAAATTGAACTAATGTACTTACGTACGTACGTACGAATTTCTACGTTGTTACTGACTGATTAACTGAATGACTGACTGATATTTATGGATCTATAACGAATTGTCTCTAAAGAGACTAAATGATATTACTCACAATTTATTTAATTACTTATTTTAACACATAAATATTGGTACAAAGAGGCACCAAATGGATATACGCCACATAAATCATTCGATTTATGTGAGGGCTGGGATACTGCCTGGGTGCCCAAACAGAAGTAGGTGGTTTTCTTAGGAAGCCACACCCCAAGCCATTGATCTAAAGGCCTAATCCACAAAGCTTAGATGTTCTGTAGCACAAAACATTATATCACGAGACGACTGTACAAAATAGAAGGTATCACAATTGCAAAAACCTAGTCTATACACATGGTCTTCTGTAGAAGAAATGGAGGATCTTTTATCTTAATTCAAACTAAGAGATTTTGATTGTCGTTTGAAAGGCCTTAATTCTGTTTAGTTTGAAAACTTGGCGTTATTTTTTTATATCGTCTAATCAGGTTGAAGTAAAACTACAGTACCAATTAGTATTTTATTCAAGTGATTGTTTAACATCAACTGTTTGTTACATTCTTCGGTTCTATTTTTTCATCTTCTCAAGTATAAATTTCAATAGCTCTTCTTAAAAAAACTCTGTTCACTGACAACTCTATCTCGTTGACATTTCATGTATTTATATATTGATTAAATTATCTCTAATATCATAGTGAACTAATGTTTAGCAACATTATAACCCAGCTATTCCTATTGTTTCGTATTCTTGGACACCAGTTCACTCGACAAGTCCCCAAACCAAAACACGGTTGAACAGGAAAGAGATTATATTCCAAATAACAAGGTTAGATGGAAGTAAGAAGTATAATGGGAAAAATGTTAGTATGTTTATACTTTTTACATGAAAGGATTTCTAGAGTATTCTTCAAGTCTCGACTAACACTGATTGGGTAAGAATTTGCCAATTAGCGTGCACCAAAGAAATCGTGCATTGAGCATGCTTTAATCCAATCTACGTCCCGCTATCAGTTTTTGTGCCAAAAAGCGCTCATTTTCACCTTATCTTATTTCCCACTTGAGAGGACCTTGAATTTCAATGGTCACGCTTCCCAAGGACACCTTTATGCTATATACATATGTGCTTGAATTGTGCTTGTAGTTGTTGTTCGTGCTTCTGGCTGTTTTCGGAACACATTTTCCCTCTTCTAAACCTGGACTTCTCTCTCTAGTTAGCGAGTATTAGACACACCGGAATAATTAGCTTATTTGATCATTCTGTCACTGAGTTTTATTCTGTTCGCAGATTTTAAAACAAATTATAGATGTTTCAATTCCGCTTGGTATTCTTTACTTGTATCTTCCCATTCATGTTTAGAATGACAATTGATCAGTCTCTCATTGATATATGTGTGCATACTGTGCGTATTACTTCGATATTAACTTAGGTCACAAGCTTTATAAGCAAAGATGAATGATGGCTAGCAATGGAATCCAGGACAAAGCGCGTTTCGTTCTATTTGGGACTCGTCGGTTGGATGTACCTGCATCTCAGAATTGATGTTCACTGTGAGACTGGAACCCAGTAACGTACATTCTAGACAATACAGAGTCTACATCCAATACACTGTCGGACACCCGATCGTAGCTAAGCTATATTAGCTGGAACATATGTTCCTGTAGGTTCTATCACGCCAGGAAGGTCAATTTGAGAACGGTAGGACTAAAAGCAACAACTCAAGGTCTGAGGGCGAAGTCGTACTGCTGACTTCGTGTACCTGAAAGCCCTCATGCTGATTCCCGTGGTCTCGCTGGTGTAGGTATAGCATTGAGTCCTGTCTCTCTTAGACTGGATCCTCGTAGACATCCCAACTGAACGGAACAGTAAGGACTCGGAAAGATAGGGACACTCGTCGTTGCCTCTTCGTCCTCTCTGCCTATTCTCCCACTGACTGACATTGTTGGGCAGACACATGATTAGGACGTACAATCGATTACAAAAACTTAGACTCTATATGAGCTATGTCGGATGCGATATTTGTACAAACTTGATAACTGACTGATTTCGAATACCCAATACAATATATTCAGTCGTGCTCATATCGTTCTTGTTGGTTAAATTGAGTTACTTCTAGGATTCCTAGTTTGTATCATAATTCAAATACTCCTAATCATCACAGATTCTTTCTGTTGACAGGCCTATAAATCCAGATGAGGTAATTTTACATAAAGAATGTTGTTTCATGTGAAGTTACTACAATGTTCCTTAAACGTGATGAGAACAAACTACATTTCCATGAGTAACACTTCTATCATTAAAAAGCTATTGAAGATATATACATCGCTGTCCAATAACATAGATGGATTACGAATGATCGTCAATAAAGTTACGATCTTGAGTTAGACTAGAATCGCCCACATTTCTAACATTAATTACTTTGCAATCTAGTCTGTTGATCATTCGTTAATATTAAAGATAGAATATCTCATTTCTAACGTGATTTAACTTCACTGGTATGGATTATCATTCAAAACTCGAGCACTAAACTTGAAACAGGTCACTAGTAACTCCAAAACTACATATATGTTCGTATCCCTTCTTGAGTATTCATTTAATTTATCACTAGTATACATTACGGAATACAATAGACAGTTTGAATGCAAATAGACGATTCGGACTTCACAAATAACCTGACGCTTCTATCCCATACACAACGACAAACGCAGATCAAGGCAACCAGTATAGCAGCGGCCTATGCATCAATAGGCCTCAACATACACAATAGGAAAAACAAGATCCTCAAATACAACACAGAGACACGAATCCAATCACACTTGATGAAGAAACTCTGGAAGAAGTGTAATCTTTCACATACCTGGACAGTATCATCAATGAACGTCGAGGATCCGATGTAGACGTAAAGTGAGGATTGGCAATGAAATAACAGCATTCCTACAGTTGAAGAATATATGCAACTCAAAAGAACCTTCAACCAATATCAAAGTCACAATTTTAATATGAACTTCAAGACAGTTAGTTCTATAGTACGGAGCTGAAACTTGGGGAACTACCACAACCATCATCAAAACGGTACAGGTATTTATGAATAGTTGTCTACGCAAAATACTCAATGTCCGATGACTGAATACCATCAACAACTGTCTACTATGTGAGAGAACAAACCAACTTCCAGTTGAAAAGGAAAAGACGTTGGAAGTGAATAGGACACACATTGAGGAAATCATCAAACTGCATGACGAGGTAAGCGTTAACTTGGAATCCTGAAGTGAAACGGAAATGAGGAAGACCGAATAACACACTGTGCCGAGAATTGGAAGCAGACATGAGAAGAATGAGTAGCATTTGGAAACCAGTAGAAATGATTACTTATGACAGGGTTGGATAGAGAGTGCTGCTGGTCGTGCTATGTTCCTCCACGCAAGGATTAACAGGCGTAAGTAAATAAGTACTCATCACAAGTTACCATATAAGGGGGAATATTATTGATTTATGGAATCCAAACCTTTTATAAGTGGGACAATCATAATCAGTTTCTGAATAACTATCAAGGTATATCATGAAATAATGAGAGATAAAAACATTAATCATTAGATTAAAAGTCATAAGTTTACATTAGAAAAGACGTTGGAAATGAATAGAACACACATTGAATAAATCACCAAACTGTATTATGTAACAAACATTAACTTGAAATTGTGAATGGAAACAGAAAAAAAGGAAGACCGACACATTGTGTCGGGAATTGAAAGTAAACATGAAAAGAATAAATAGCAATTCCAAAAAAATTATTCAAATACCCTGGTACGGCAGAGAGTAGGGAGAGTCCGCTCTCCCTCTCCAAATGCTTTCACATGACCACGCATATATAGCCTCTACCAGGAAGTCCTACTCACTGCCTTCTCCTATCAGGGGTGTTGTTTACGAAATTGAGAAAACGAAAAGCGAATGTTCGACACTTTAACCGGGTTGGTGGATATGGAGAGTCCACCTAGGAAGTTGGAAAACCCTCATTCCAAACCAACCGTGCACATGGGTTCCAGTATCCTGAAGGAACAAATTGCGTATGAACCAATCGTTGGTCACCGGCTACTATGTGACTGCATCTTTTGACGTTGCTCCACTGCCTTGTGAACCAGACCTTTAGGTCAAAGGCTCCAGATGTGGTTACCTATGAAAGCCATCTGCTTCGGTTTGGCCACTCGGACACCCCTCACACAAGTAGAATGATTTATGTGGCGCATATCTATTTGTTGCCTCCTAGTACCAATATTTAGGTGTTCAAATAAGTAAATAATAAATGTATAAGGAATGCTGATTGTCAACCTGTACTCATCGACGAATGGTAACAGGAGTCAATGAAATAACTATAGAACAATCATGTAGTCCTTTATATGCATAAAATCTTGTTTGATCAATATAACAATTACATTATATGTATTTATATTTATCATTTACTTCTCTTTTTTGCAAATCTAGGAGATTTCAACCACCTAAAGGTTTAAGTATGAAAATGTTTATTATTTTAATCATTTTAACTATTGTATTAATACCATTAATTATAATTGGAATAATTATTGGAATTATTTATATATATAAAACAAATATACCAAATTTACCATATGCATTACCATGGTGGCGTCGTTCATTAATCTATCAAATAAATATTGAAACATGGGCAAATGATGTACAAGGACCAATTGGTCGATTACAAGATATAATACCACGTATTGATTATTTAGTAAATCAAGTAAGTTATGAAAATTTTTTAATAGTTTTAATCGTTGAAATCATATGTGTCAATAAAAGTTAGATCACCATGGAAAATTTAGAAGCACTAGATGATTGTTTCATCTTAGTCTGAGACTCCCCGACCGTAGCTGCTACCTTGATGCGGCGGTTGGGCTTGCCTATCGTGATGACCCATTCGAGCTATATTGGCTGGAACATATGTTCCTGTAGGTTCTACGATGCCAGGCAGGTCGATTGGAGAATGGTAAGACTAAAAGCAACAACTCAAGGTCTGAGGGCGAAGTCGTATTCTGACTGTAGAGGGGTGTGACATCAGTAACGTGTTTCCCTCGGACAACCAACATCTGCAGCGTGCTGCCTTCCCACAAGGAGGGGTGGGGTTAGAAAAGGTCGACCCTAATAATATCACACCTCACCTTACCTCACGGATTTCCGTCTCCGGCGGTAAGGCCCTTTGAAGAACGGGGGTAACACGTCAAATACCTCCTGCAAAAAAGCCGTGCGCGACCGGCCTCAAGCAGTTAACCCTTGGGCTCTGCGGTCACACTCCCAGGTCGTTAAGGCCAACATTAATCTAACTTCCTTTTCAGGTTCCTCAAGAAATACCCTTCCATGGTGTGGGCACCCGGGAAGTGACATCAGCCCTCATACGCGTAACAGCAAACGAGACCAAGTTGGTCACATTCAAATCCTTCCTGAGTATGAAACTCCACAGCAATGCGTATCCGTGATGTCGCCCTCCCCTCCTGCGAGATTTGAACCCAGGAGCCATCAGTTGTATATATATGTGTGTCTTGTTTTCTTTTTTGTTGTTAGATCTATTGAAGCGGTCAATTCACCTTGTTAAGATGTATCTGTTGTAATTCGAATAGTCGTTTACGAAGTTCAAACTGCCTAATCTCTGATTCAATGATTTCTACTTCTATCTCTTTAAGAATTGGTTCTTGTTTTCTTCTACTCCATGTTTGATACTTACATAGGTTTAGACTAAATAGCAAATATCTTTAGAGTTTGGTTTCATATTATCAATGTGTGTTCACTTTAAAGGCTGAAGGAACAATCATTTCAACGATCGAATCATGCGTTTTTCCTAAATTGTTTGTGTTGTACTTCTCTTTCTTGATCTTTGTTATTGTCAGATCAAATGAACAGAACACAATTTAGACCAGATTTAATTACTGCGAGCATTCAAATCAATATGAATCAAAGTTACGAACTTTTAAGTCTATCGAATCGTTTAAATCTCCCATTGGAGATATGCTCAAAATCGAAGTTCTCAAAACAATGATTTGTTTAAAATAGCAGTTCTTTATTGAATAATATACAGAATTCTTTTGATTGAGATCATGAACCGATTGATGTTAGACCACCATTGAAAACCTGGAAGCGCTGGACGGCCGTTTCATCCTATTGTGGGACTCCTCAGCAGTGCGCACCCACTCGCGGGATTTGAACCCAGGGCCTTCAGTGTCGCGCGCAAACCGCTTAACCTACTGGACCACTGAGCCGACATCCAATTGTGGTAATGTCTAACCTCAACCAATCCATGAAGTTGCGCAACCATCTTCCATTGTACTGAGGTAGATTCCTGTTTCTACCTGACACGGATTAGTTTCATTGGTCACGGCTTCTCACCAGAACAAAATTTAATTATAAACCTCAACTTGTGAGGTATATTTGGCGTTTAAAGCGTTCTTTTGTACGAAATAAATAAAAGGCTTCCTTTAACAGTAACATGAAGAATAATTACAACATATAATAGTTATGTCTAAAATTGCTAACAGTTTACCAACAAGCAAAAATTGAACCAAGAGCAAACAATATGGAAACCTTTACGTTTAAACAAAGGTTAAATACATGCAAAAAATTGTGGATGACTGCTACAGTGATGGAGATAAAGTAATTATATTGATAAAGACAATAAATGTTATAAGTATATGTAAACTTGCGTTGCAACATACGAGTACAATTTCTAGGAACAAAACTACTTACTGAATATTATTAAGTAGTATAAAATCATACGCAAAAGAATCGAGGTGGAATGAATAAGGATAGAAAATGTAACAGAATGTGTAACTTAACAGAATGTGTAATATTAAATTCAATAATCAAAATATTATCCTTGTATTGATCTATTTGAGCTTTACAAATAATTCCCTTTGATCAAAATTTTATTTCAATAGTACAGACAATTAACTTTTCTCTCAATCTCTTTTAACTTGAAGTAATCTAAATAGTAAATCAATGATTAAAAAACACCAAAAAAATCAAACAACATTCATCCTAAATTCACATGGTGTTGTTTGCTTGTATCTTGAATATCAATTCTAGGATACAGGTAAATCCAGCTGATGAGTCGTAAATAGGATGAAACGTGCTTCGTCCTGTATTCCGCTGCTAGCCACTATTCATCTTTAAGATTAGATGGTGGTTGGAGGTAGTCGACAGGAAACCCTGGACCCGGGTTTCGTGCTACCTCGCACTCATCAGCAAGGTGTGCCTGTAACCTTGTGGGAACTGGTGCCCCTTGGAGGATTCGACCCGTGTCAACCAGCTTCACAGTCAGAGACGTTACCACAAAGCTATCCGGGCTGCGACTGACCTCCTGTAGGACTGATATGTAATCACAATCATCTTTACTTATAAGCATTCATCCTAGCCTTGAATTCTCTTTTCGGTTTTCAAGTTTTTCTAATTGAAATCCTTTATTCGAACTAGAACAACAGTTTTCTTTGAAATGTTATCTGTATACATAGTATTACATTTTTCTTAAAAGGTATTCTTTATGTTTCATCAAAAACGACAATATAGCAGTTAGTGTATTTGTTCGATCGATAGTTTATTTCAGTAGTTACATAAACCTTGTGTAGGCTCTTTACTCGAACACTACCAATCAAGTCAGAGATTATGATGAACTGTCATCCGAAAAGCCTTCTACTATCTTCATTCTTGTTTAATTTCATCATAGACCTACTGCTGGAAATAACGTTCTCATCGACTGAATTTTCAGAAATTGATCTCCTACCAGATAGTCCACTTATTAACTTAGAATACGCAGATGACATAGTCTTATGTGGGGTAGACGCTGATAAAATGCAAAATTTTTTGGTAGTACTGAACAACAATGACAGGATGTTAGGAATACGTTTCTCCCCCTCTAAATGTAAGCTGTTGAAGTAACTACTTCTATGAATTTGGTGTTCATCTTGTTGTGTTAATGAGGTATGACAACTTGAACTGATGCATGTATATATGCTTGGTTCTACGTTACAACTGACTGATTGACTTATTTCAGTTGTTTAATTAAATTTATAGAAATTTTAGATTTTTGTTTCTCTTAACTAAAAGATCATCTATGATTCTACATAACTATGATTAGTATATCTTAAGTTTATTGAATATATGTATTTTGAGCCTGTCCTTAAAGGTTATAATGAAATTTGTATGATAATAGTTAGGTAATTGTAAGAAGAAGATTTTAGAACAATAAGTTGTATTTTGAGTTCATTCATGAAAATTTAACTTTCAATTTGATCTATATCTGAATTGATTATAAACTAGATCTGTATAATAAACTACCAAGTGATACATCATTAATAATAAGAGAAAACTGTGTTCAGATCATGAAACATATTACTTATCAGAATGGGGGGGGGTTGTGGAGTTTATAGTAATTTAATAGTTGATTTCATGAGTTGATTAAAGCCATACCATTATGGAAAACCTGGAAGCAGTAGACGTCCATTTCGTCCCAGTATGGAGCTCCTCAACAGTGCGCATTCACGATAACAATGAATTGGATAATATAAACATAATTAACCAAAGTATAAATTCATTGTATGATGACAGACGTATTAGCGTAGTGAACGAGAACACATTAACTGGAATAACCAAATGTATTTGAACATAAAATTACAGAATTACTTACTTACTTACTTACGCCTGTTACTCCTCGTGAAGGAGCATAGGCCACTCACCAGCATTCTCCATCCAACCCTGTCCTGGGCAATCCTTTCTAGCTCCGTCCAGTTGTAATTCATCCTTTTCATATCTGCTTCTATTATCCGACGCAATGTGTTCTTTGGCCTTCCTCTTTTTCGCTTCCCTTCAGGGTTCCAAGTTAGGGCTTGCCTCGTGATGCAGTTTGACGATTTGCGTAATGTATGTCCTATCCATTTCCATCGTCTTTTCCTAATTTCTTCTTCAGCTGGAAGTTGCTTTGTTCTCTCCCACAGAAGGCTATTGCTGATGGTATCCGGCCAGTGGATGTTGAGTATCTTGCGTAGGCAGCTATTTATAAATACTTGTACTTTCTTGATGTGGTTGTTGTAGTTCTCCAAGTTTCAGCTCCATACAGTAGAACTGCCTTGACGTTCGTATTGAAGATTCTCACTTTGATATTGGTTGAAAGTTGTTTTGAGTTCCATATGTTCTTCAATTGTAGGAATGCGACCCTTGCTTTGCCGATCCTCGCCTTTACGTCTGCATCTGAACCTCCTTGTTCATCGATGATGCTTCCTAGGTATGTGAAGGACTCTACATCTTCCAGAGTTTCGCCATCAAGAGTGATTGGATTGCTGTTCTGCGTGTTGAATTTGAGGACCTTGGTTTTCCCTTTGTGTATGCTGAGGCCTACTGATGCAGAGACTGCTGCTACACTGGCTGTCTTCATCTGCATCTGTTCGTGTGTACGTGATAGGAGGGCTAGGTCGTCTGCGAAGTCCAAATCGTCTAATTGATTCTGAGTTGTCCATTGTATTCCGTGTTTTCCTTCAGATGTCGAGGTCTTCATAATCCAGTCGACCACCAGAAGAAAGAGGAAGGGAGAGAGTAAACAGCCTTGTCTGACTCCAGTCCTTACTTGGAATGCATCTGTCAGCTGTCCTCCATGCACTACTTTGCACTGTAGTCCGTCGTATGAGTTCCGGATAATGTTGACAATCTTCTCAGGAACTCCGTAGTGTCGAAGAAGTTTCCATAATGTCCTCCTATCTACACTGTCGAATGCCTTTTCATAATCAATGAAGTTGATGTATAGTGATGAGTTCCACTCCACTGATTGTTCGACGATGATCCGTAGTGTTGCAATTTGGTCTGTGCACGACCGATCCTTACGGAATCCAGCTTGTTGATCTCGAAGTTGGGCGTCTACTGCATCCTTCATCCGGTTCAGCAACACTCTGTTGAAGACTTTCCCTGGTATTGACAGTAGTGTAATGCCTCTGTAGTTTTCACATTTGCTCAGATCTCCTTTCTTTGGAATCTTGACGAGGTGTCCTTCTTTCCAGTCCATCGGCACTTGTTCCTCCTCCCAAATCTTTTTGAATAGAAGGTAAAGCATGCTTGTGGTTGCTTCGATGTCTGATTTCAGTGCTTCAGCTGGTATGTTGTCGGGTCCTGCTGCTTTCCCGTTCTTGATTTGTCTGACGGCCATTCTAATTTCTTCCGTCGTTGGTGGGTTGACATCTATAGGAAGATCTATATGTGCTGCTTCAATGTCCGGAGGATTCATTGGATATCTTGGTAAAATCTGAGAACTATACAATAAAATAGTTCATTTATTAAATGTGAATCAATTGTCTTAGACTTCACTGTCCCATCATCTTCACACCAATCACTCTTTGTTTTCATTCTCTTTTCTTTGATCTTTTCAACCTTCTACTACCAAACATTTTACTTTCATTTTATGATACATTCAAAGTAATAAGACATTAAAGCTTATATTTGAAAAAAAAAACATAATAAGGAAAAATAGACAAATAAAACGGTATAGAAAACGATAACATCTCAGGCTTATTCAGACAAGGAAAGGATAAATACAAAGACTTGGGTTGTTAGGTCGAAACCTTATAGTTTCTACTATATGTAAAAGATGAAATTGAACCCCAAACAAATAAAGGTAGTATGTATAAGATAAACTATTCTAAATACTTTATTTCTATCTACTATCTAACCATTATCCATTTTCATACCTAGTTATATTTCTAAGCAAAGATGGATAGTGACTAGCATTGGAATCTAACACTCGTGTTTCATGTTATTTGGAACTCGTCAGCTGAATGTACTTGCATCTCCGAGTTGATGTTCATTCTGAGACTCAATCTCAGTACCGTTCGATTCAAACACTATCGCCTTATCTAATTAGATACTGAATCCTAATAACCATCAGATGAATGTTCTAAGTTCGAATTCTAGAGTGAATATAAACTCTGAGATGCAGGTAAATTCAGCTAACAAATCTCTAGATTCCACTGATAACCACCATCCATTTTTGCTTGTAAATTAAGGCAATATCGAGGCAATCCTCAAAGGATGAACATATACTAATAAGAGACTGATCAATTGAAGTCTTAAACATCAATGGGAAAATTCAGATGAACAATATCAAGTGAATCTAGTTATATTTACCTATAATAATAAACATTTTTTAAGTTCATGTTGATCTTACATTGAATGAACTCAAATTATACCTGTAACCCTAGATACTTATGATGAATATTTCACATAGTAACTATTTATTATTTGAAAATAATACAAATAGTTTCTATTAACTTACATTATTTCTTTTTAAATAAAAAAATGAATGATCTATATCCTTCCTCCCCTCCCTCTCCCTCTCCCCCCTCTCCTTCTCTCCCCCCCTCCCCCCAACTTTGATTTAGGTTGGTGTTACAAGTGTATTACTCACAAATTTATTAAATTCTGATATTAATGGTATTATTGATTGGGAAACAATTAATCAATCGATTGATCCAACCGAAGAAGGATTTAATCATTATTTACCACAAATAATAAAAAAATCGAAACAACAAAAATCTCCATTTTACTTGGTTTATCAATTTATACAACAAGTAATAGACATGAATGGTTTCGTTTAAGTCAATCAAGTAATAATAATAATAATAATGTTTATAGTACATTTTATATATGGACTAATAATGAAGTAAGTATAATGTAGTATTTTCTTTTTCTATTTATGAATAATTAAAATTATAAGTGAATTGAAACTAGATCATCATGAAAAATGTGAAAGTAGTAGATGATCGTTTTGTTCTATTGTGGAACTCCTCCTCAACAGTGTGCACTTATGATTCTACCTCAAGAGATTCGAAGACAGGACCTATTGGTGTCGCGCACGAATGCTTAACCTTTAGACTATTGAGCTGGTATTCAACGATGTTAATGTCTAACTTGAACTAATCCATGAAATTGCGCTACCGTTCATGATTGTATTGAGTGAGTTACTATCTTAAAACAGATCCGGTTGAACTCCACTGGTCATTGCTTCTCACTAGAACTTCAAGAAATACGTCTTAAAACCAGTCACTAGTGAGAATATTTTGATTAATATTTTTGTGGATATTATAGTAAGTTTAATAATTGAGATCATGAGTCAATTAAAGCTAGATCACCATGAAAAACCTGTTAGCAGTAGACGGTCGTTTTGTTTTATTGTGAGACTCCTCAGCAATGCGCATCCACGATTGTTATTTGTTTATTTTTTGATTAGTTAAAAGTGGAAACTGAGAACCTAAAAAGGTTTAGTCTTAACCATGATCTATAAATAATTTAAGTTATAGCTCAACTGTTTTGTTTTGACTCAGGAACAAGATTAGTTAGAGAGGGTATGTTAATAAACCTTCATAAAATAGAGTAGGATGGTAGATGTCAAATTATTCATTTACTGTTTTCTTGATTGATATAGATTGAATAATTCTCGTTCCAGAGTTAAACATCTTTTGATACTTACTTGCTTACTTACTTATGCCTATTACCCTCAGTGGAGCATAGGCCGCCGACCAGCATTTTCCAACCCACTCTGTCCTGGGCCTTTCTTCTTAGTTCTGTCTAATTGTTGTTCATTCTTCTCATGTCTCTATCCGTTTCTGGGCATAATGTGTGATTTGGTCTTCCTCTTCTCCTTTGACCTTGAGGATTCCATGTGAGGGCTTGTCTTATGCTTTCCTCAATGTGTGTCCCATCCACTTCCAGCGCTTCCTCCTGATTTCTTCCTCCACTGGGATCTGATTTGTTCTCCCCTACAGTAGGTTATTACTGATAATGTCCGGCCAACGGATCCGAAGTATTTTGCATAGACCACTGATAATAAACGCTTATATCTTCTGTATGATGACATTTGCAGTTCTCCAAGTTCCCACCTCATACAGTAGAACTGTCTTGACATTTGTATTGAAAATCCTGACCTTGGTGTTGGTTGATAGTTGTGTTGAGTTCCAGATGTTCCTCAGTTGTAAATATGCTGCTCTTGCTTTACCGATCCGCGCTTTCATATCTGCATCAGATCCACCCTGTTCATCAATGACGCTGCCCAAATATGTAAATGTTCTTACATCTTCCAAATCTTCTCCGTCAGGTGCAATTCGATTGTTGCATATTGTGTTGTATCAGAGAATCTTGCTTTTCCCTTTATGTATGTTGAGACCTACTGCTGCTGAGGCTGCTGCTACACTGTTCGTCTTCTCCTGCATTTGTTGTTGCGTTTGAGATAGAAGAGCTAGATCATCTGCGAAGTCTAGATTATCCAGTGCCCCTAGATGTCCACTGTATCCCATGCTTCCTCTTAGATGTTGACATCTTCATGATCCATTCGGTCATCAGGAGAAAGAGAAGGAATGAGAGTAAGCAACCTTGCAAGACACCGGTCTTTACCTCGAACAAGTCTGTAAACTGTCCTCCATGCACAATGTTGCAGTTTAATCCATCATAGGAATTCTGTATGATATTGACTATCTTCTGAGGCACGCCGTAGTATCGAAGAAGCTTCCATAGTATTTTTTCTGTCCACGCTATCAAATGCCTTTTCGTAGTCAATGAAGTTGATGTAGAGTGATGAATTCCATTCAATTGATTGTTCCACAATGATCCGTAGAGTTGCGATTTGGTCTGTACATGATCTATCCTTACGGAATCCAGCTTGTTGGTCTCGAATTTGGGCGTCTACGGTGTCCTTTATCCTGTTTAACACTACCCTGTTGAATACTTTTCCTGGTATTGAGAGAATAGTGATGCCTCTGTAGTTCTCATACACTAACCAGAAAAAATTTTTTCAGTAGCTAGTTGATAAATTCAACATCAAGTGGATGTATCAGTTAACAAGTTATTAGTTCCAAGTTCTAAACTAACTGATTATCATTTTAAATTTTTCCTTGCCAGAATAAAAGAGCAATCGATTATATTAATCTTTTATAGTAGGTTTTTATGTTCCCAACTATCTTTATTTTTTTAGAAAATAAGCTACAAGATCAAATTAACCAATAGAGCAAATCTAAACTTCAATGGAGAAGAGTTTATCCCTAGTTTTCCAAACTTATTTCTATCTTTTTTCTTTGATTTCTTCTTGATATGACGAGATCTTGTTCAGTATCAGTGCTTGAAGTTATTAACATCTAGTCTGAGCCATGTTGGTAGATGCGGACTACTTGTTTAAGGTTCACGTGACTATCGTAACCATTGGTTGGAGACTCTAAGTGACATGGCTTAGAATAGATCACAATTGCGTAGGTGTATACACTCTCTATCTTCTCATAAACTAAGAGATTAAAATCGCTTCATATCTTTCTTTCTACGAACTAATTCTTTCTTCCTGTACTATGTCCTTATATGCAATCTTTCTTTTATATATTACCACCATTGAATTAACTACTTCTATGAATTCAGTGTTCATCTTGCTGCGCTAATGAGATATGGAAATTAGGAACGATGTATATATGTGTTTGGTCCTACGTTGAAGCTGACTGACTGCCTAAATGACTGATTATTACTTCGTTTAATATTTGTCTATTATTTGATAAAGTGTTCATTGTAAAGTATTGAATTAGATCATTGAATCCTGTTATTGTTTTCAGTTTACTAATAGATGTGATTAATATCTAATGCTTATTGTTTTTAGCCTTTAACTGATCAACAAAAACGACATTATGCCTATGATTCTATTCGTCGAGCATACTATCGACATGTACATGGTAATCCAAATAGTCCATTATTGAATTTAAGTAATCCTAATGTAAGTTATAGTACTTTCTATTTTTACAACTTTTTATTTTATTTCAATGGTTGAGATCATGGATCAATTGAAGCTAGATCGTGGAAAACCTGGAAGCACTGGATGATCGTTTCGTCCTGTCGTGGGATTCCTTAGCATTGCGCACCCGTGGTCCCGCTCCGTGGGACCCGAACCCATGACCTATCGGTCTTGCGCGCGAGCGCTTAACCACTAGACCATTGAGTCGGCATCCAACGTTATTAATGTCTAACTTCATCCAATCCACGAAATTGAGCGATACATTCACCATTGTCATTAGTGAGTTACTATCTTACAACATGTTATTAATTTAGCAGTATTTGACATTCTCTCATATTTAGCAACAATCGTAGAAGTGTATTCATAAATAAATGATAATGATTCAAGTTATAAAGAAACTTTTTCTTTTCAACAATTTTACCAACAAGGAGTATCAGTCAGTCATAATCAATGTAGAACCTGATACAAATGTGCGTTAGCCCTGAATTCCACACAAATAGATAAACTTAAGATGATTAATTAGGGTATCAAAGTATTCATAATACTAATTATAATCAGAAAGATTAAACATCGAAGATATATTTCGAAACGGTAGTACCAAGATATGTAGAAAGGAATTCTGAAATTTACGATATAGAAAAGTATCTGCTCCATAGTAACTAATCATGAGTAATGTCACTCAACTACTACAAACATTGATCTTATCAGTCAATTTACACCAATCATTATGACTAAGTCCAACAATTGATAACTCTATAGATTGAGATAAGTTTTTGGTTTGGTCGTCTTTAAATTACTTTTAAACTACTACAACGTTGAGGTAGACGATGGTTAGACATATTTAAACCATTTCTTAACTGGATCAGTTGATGAAGATTCCTAATCTCATTGATCGGAATAACTATACATGTGACGTGAATGTGTATATGAATGCTGCAAATGGTCCACCAGGGTGCTTGGTACTTCTGTGGTTGCGCCACAGGATTGAGCTGTACTATTTAGATTGTAGCTTTAAAGCATATACGGTGTCTGGTTCTCCTGTGAAACGGAATTGAGCTGTACTGCTAGGGTTGTCACGTGAAAGTCTGGATGGTTTCTGGCTCTCCTGAAAACCAATGTAAAATGACCCTGGTCCACAAAGGGATATTATATAAAAAAATATTTTCTATGATCAGGCAGAATAATGTTTGTGTTTCAAAGAAGCATAATTTTTATCACCCATATAACTTCATTCACAAGAACAAATAAACTGATAGACACAGAGTGAGTTGCTTCAAAGAGGTTATTTCTCCTTACTACATCCACGAAACAAGTACCCACTAGAGAAAATAATCTACATCTCATCACACTTAGCTCTTACAAAGGTATAGATAGTCAAATTCACTTGGTATTGTTTGCTTGTATCTTCTCATTATTGTTTAGGACCGCAGTTGATCAGTTTCTTGTTAGCATATGTGCATCGTCTGCGGATCGCCTCAATATTGCTTCAAGTCGTAAACATTATAAGCAAAGGTGGTTGATGGCTATCAGTGGAATAAAGGACAAAGCGCGTTTAGTCCTATTTGGGACTCGTCATCTGGATGTATTTGCATCTCAGAGTTGATGTTCACTCCAGCACTCGAATCCAGTGCAGTTCGCTTCAAACGCTATCGCGTTATTCATTTCGAGTCCCGGAATAAACATCAACTCTAGTTAGAAGTTAAATGTAGAAGTAACTTTTTTAGATCATATTTTTGAGTTACTATATCAAGACGGTTTCCATGCCTAAGTAGTTGGAAGTTATCCGGTTTTTTTATTATATTTAGATAAACTTGCTTTTTCCCAGTAGTCACAGCTTCCCATTAGAGCAGCCGTTACCAATGAAACTGTATGATCATATTATTATTGAAGTGTAAGCCACTGGACATTAAACCAGTATTTAAGCGTTTGCTACGTGCTATAAGGTTATGGTATCCGATTCACGACGTGTACTCTTCAAGATTCTAGTGTTTCCTGGTTTCCAATAGTTTAGGTGGAGTATTGTTTTCTGAACTGAATGGCTTGGTAGTGAAGTTCTTATTGTTCTTCTGAAAAAATATCATCAGGACAAACTTCAAGTAGGGATGGAGTGTTCAAATTTATTACAGTTTGTCCTGTTGACTTCGAGCTTGATTGGTTATTGTTGACATTTAACCTGCAATTGTCTACTTCTCTATTTTGATTGTATCTCATTTTGATTTGATTCTTGGTTTATTTCGTAGATGATGTTTGGTTTTCTCCTTTCGTGATGTCGTCTTTTGGTTTGTATGGGATTGTTCGAAGTGATTTTACTGCTTTATATGCTACATCTATTTCAAACGGCTTCAACAATCTCGTTGTAATTTTGATATATCTTTTATATGTGTTAGGATGATCCGTTTGTTGGTTATTGTACATGATTTTGTTTCTGGAGATGAGTTGGGTTGATTCTTTTTGATGAAGTTGATTGGATAGATTTTCTTTTGGAAGATAGCCTTTAAATATTTCTCTTCATTTCTTCGCACTGCAAGTGTACTGCAGTGTATTCTCACCCTCTTGAATAAAAGTTGTACCCAGTTGATTTTGTGAGTTCTTGGCTTGTTACCACTATAATTAAGCATTTGATCTATGTGGATCGGCTTCCGATAAACCCGACTCTTCAATTTTCTTGTGTCCGTTCTGGTGATTAGTACATCTAAAAATGATAGTTTGTTGTTTGACTCCTTTTTTTATTATGAATTTTATGTCATTGAAGATGTTGTTGATCAAATTGTAGATATTTTGCAACTTGTACTTTTTGATGAGGACAAATGTGCCGTTAACATAATGAATCCAAATTTTTGACTTGATCACTGATATGATCAAAGTTTCCAGTTCCTGCATCACTGTTTCTGAAATAAGTCTTGATATTCATGATCCCATCGGTGTCTCCTTCGTTTGTTTATAGATTTTGTCATTGAATTGGAAGTATATCGTCAAGAATAAATCGATAGATTCTAGTAAATTTTGACTTTGGAGCTTTGTATAGTTTGAGAGATTTGTATCGCTGGTAAACAGTAAGGATAGAATTTCATTTCCTCAATAGTATCTCAACTGAGAACAATCAATGATTAATATCATTTATAGATATTGATTTTGTTAGTTGTCGAAATAACTGATACAATATACATAAGAAAGACGTGTTTTACCTCCAACAGTTATCATCTCAATTTAACTTACCTATCATTTCTTTAGTTTCTTATATTATTTACATAAATTAGTAATTTATTGTTTTATATATGGAAGATTAGTATCAAACGAGTCTTTGTGGAGATTGTAGTAATTTCAATAGTTGAGATTATGAGACTGATAGGTCCTAGGTTTGAGTCCCGCCAGGCGGGGTCGTGGATGAGCACTGCCAAAGAGTCCCATACTATGACAAAACGACCATCCAGTGCTTCCAGGTTTTCCATGGTGGTCTAACTTCAATTGACTCATCATCTCAACTATTGAAATATAGATTACATAATGATGAGGTGTAGACAATACTCAACAAATTTTTTTCAAACATCAGTTAATTTAATGTATGCAGTGTCTTCTAATATTCTAACTGATTCTGTTTATAGTTTTCTATGGTCTCTGAATCATTCTAATTTCTGACTACCCTAACTATAATAAATCACATTGAGTAGGCAGTTGTATTTACTGATTAGCATGTTTGCATAAAAAGGTGACTCAGATATTGAATATGTGATTGGTGACCTTAATTAAGTGAATATTACAGTTACGCATCAATACTAGTGTGGTGTGTGCTAATGATATCAATAGATATAAGTAGTATGTATCACCAATCAAAAGTGAAATGTCTGGTAGCACATTAAAAAAATCGAAGAGAAGAGAACAGAAAGTGATTAGTATGGAAATGAAGGAACAATGAAGTCTTAGACAACTAATTAACGTTTTCGGTAAAGTTTTTAGTGTTTACTAAATGTTTAATTGATTTAACCAATTTACCCAAATTAAAACCGGAACGGGGCCTTTCCTGGCCCCGCGCCCCCCCCGGGGGGTTAACCCGGGCCTTGGTCCGCGCGAACTTAACCAAGGCCCGCCGGCCAAGGGATTTTAAAAACCAACCCAAATTGCGCCCCTTCCTTTTTTTAAAAAATTCTCCGACAAGGATTAGCTCCACTGGTCACGGCTTCTCACTAGAACTCCGAGAATTCCCTCACGAAGCTAGTCACTAGTGAGCACATGTTGATTACTAGTATGGGGTTGTGGAGACTAAATGTATTGTCTCTGACACATTTGATTATTTTCTGTCCATTTAGTGAGTGTTACTTATTGAAATGCAGATTCTTCCTTGATTTTCATTAGTTCACACACTGAAATTAGATGGACGGTTAATAGAGAAGTTCCATACAAAATGCAGTTATAAGCAAAGATGTATGATGTCTAGTAGTGGAATCCAGTTAGACGAGCGTTTCGTCCCATTTGAGACTCGTCAACTGGATGTACCTGCATCACAGAGTTGATGTTCACTCTAGCCAGTACTCGAACCCAATACTATCGATCTATTAACTGATTCACTAATCGATACTTAACAATAGTATTTCATTGTTTTTAATATTTTAAACAACCTTTTCTTGAATATTAATTATAGGTACAAATAAAAATGATTGAAGTTATTAAATTTTGGAAACAAAAACTTGAAATTAAAGGTGTTATGATAATGAATTCAAGTAATTTACTTGAAGAAATGGTTCCCGGTATTAGAAAAATCTTAAACACAGACACTGATGGTAAGTCTTTCTAAAATTTGAATAAGTAGGCGGCTTTAGTTCATTTCCTTACTTAATTACGCCTGTTACCCTTCGCGGAGGAGCATCACCCGACCACTATCATTCTCCATCTAATCCTGTTATGGGAAATCCTTTCAAATTGTTTCCGATTCCCGAAGTAGCATGTTCTTTGGTTTTCATTTCCGTTTCTTTTCAAGATCCTAAGTTAGCGCTTGTTTCGTGATACAATTTGTATATCCTATCCACTTCCAACATCTTTTCCAAATTTTCTATTCAGATGGATGCTGATTTGTTCTCTCCCATAGTAGGTTGTTGCCGATGGTATCTGGCCGAAGAATATTGAGTATCTTGCATAGACGACTGTTCATTTCCTATAGTGAAAATATTGACTGTGATGTCAGTGAAGTGTTGATAGCGAATTCCATCGGGTCGTAGAGAACGTATAATTTTTTTCATATTTTACTATTTCATTATTATTGAGGTAATAGCTTTTGGATAACCAGTTGTAATACTCTCTTCTAACTAAAAGTAATAAGTATTGTCATAACTTACTTACGCCTGTTAGTCCCAATCGAGCATAGAACGCCGACCAGCATTCTCCAACCCACTCTGTCCTAGGCCTTCTTTTCTAGTTCTATCCAATTGTTGTCGATTCTTCTCATATCTGTCTCCATTTCTCAGTGTATTTTTTAAAAATCTTCTTCTTCTCCTTTATTTAGCTTTGAGGATTCCATATGATGGCTTGCCTTGTGACTCAGTTAAGTGCTTTCTTCAATTTGTGTCCAATCCACTTCCAGCGCTTCTTCCTGAAGTATTTTCATTAACAATACCAAATTGAATTTCATTATGAACTGATATACACATCATATCTGTTTATTCTAGGTTGATATTCTTTACTTGCGAGTGCCTGTAACCTCACATATGATTAGACTTATAACTATCCTACTTCTTGACACGTAATGAATCTTTAGACGATTGACAAAGAATGTTTAGTAAATTTTTAATCATCTAACCTAATTCTGTAGCATAAATATAAATTTCATAATTGAATTCATGAGTCAATTGAAGCTAGACTACTGAGCCGGCATCTGATGGTGTTAATGTTTAACTTCAAGTCTAGTGGTTAAGCGCTCGCGCGCGAGACGAATAGGTTCTGGGTTGAAATCTCACGAGGCAGGATCGTGGATGCGCACTACTGAGGAGTCCCATACTAGAACGAAACGGCTGTCTAGTGCTTCCAGGTTTTTCATGGTGGTTTAGCTTCAATTGACACATAAATTCAACTACTAAATTACTATAATATTCACAAAACCCTCTCTGATTATAAATTTAAATGTTGAATATGAAACAAATTCACAATGAATTTATACATAATTTCTCAAAATCTAACATTGATTTCAATGTGTATTTGATTGAATTTATTTGATTTCTATTGGAGAGTAAAAAGAATGCTTTCATTGCATCTTTTATTTAACTATCAACATAATCGTTATTTTATGTTAGTTTATTTAACAACTAATGATATCATGTTCATTTGGTATTGTTTGACTTGTGTCTTCCTATTGAGGTTTAAACTGCAATTGATCAGTCTATTATTGGCATATATGCATATTGTGCGTATGCCTCGATATTGCCTTAATTTACAAACTTTTTGTAAGCGATGATGGATAGTGGCAAGTGGCTATCATGATTCAGTAGCTGAGTGGATAGGGCGGTAGCGTTTGGAGCGAGTAGTACTGGGTCCGAGTCCCGGGGTGGACACCGACTCATGCACGTACATCCAGCTGACAAGTCCCAAATAGAGCGAAACGTGAGTCCTGGATTCTAATGATACGACGTTTCTTCCTATACTCAATACTTAAATAAAGTATTTGATAAAGACTGTGTATATTTTTTAACGGAATTTTCAAATCTTTACGTAACAAGAGATAAGAATTTTAATTTTATCATTGAACTCATCTAAGAAGAAAAGAAGTTGAGACTGTAATTTATGAACGACCTTTAAGTGACGCTAGTGTAGTGACCATGAGATTGTCCATCCAATAATTAAGATCAAATAAAGGTTATAAATCAGTATGAGGAATTAGAATTACGATTTACAGTTGATACGTAGGGTTAGGAATTAGATTTAGAGTTTTCATTTCGAAGTGACATAATCTAAAATTTCTTTGATTGAGATCATGAATCGATTGATGTTAGATCACCATTGAAAACCTGGAAGCATTAGATGGTAGTTTCGTCCTATTGTGGGACTCCTCAGTAGTGAGCATCCACGATCTCACTCGCGGGATTGGAACACGTGTTCTCACTAGTGACTAGCTTCGTGAGAGAATTCCCGGAGTTCTAGTGAGAAGCCGTGACCAATGGAACTAATCCTTGTCGAGTAAAGACAGGTATCTACTTCATCAGTACAATGGAAGATGGTCGCGCAATTTCGTGGATTGGCTGAGGTTAGACATTAACACCGTAGGATTAACGAATCTTAAGTGACCTTGAGCAATATTAGCCAATCAGAAGACAGTTAGTATAGAGTAAAAGTATATTATGAAAGACTAAACAATTAAAGTGGATATTCTTTTTTTACATGATTCAAAAACTTATTAAGGTTTGAAAGAGGTTCAGAGGTTCTGAAATAGTAGTGCATATGGTATAAAAACTCATCCATATGGCTTCATAATAGTCGACCTCTGGAGCCGTGATAGGGTCTTAGAAACTCCTTTAACCTGGACCACATGACTTCAATATTATAATTGTGAACGCCGGTTGTAGGGTCGACAAAATGGCGCTTGTGCACAAAGACATGATGCACATACCCAAGTCTATGTAGGCATCTATACTCTCTCCAATCATCTGTATATATCGTAGTGCCCGGCTGCACGTATTCCTGTGCATTTGGTATTATTGTGGTTGCTTGCCGGTTTCTGACCCTTTGAAAATGTCCCTTTTGCGTTGATCTGTCATAAATTCCAAGTACCTGTGAGGTATATTTACGGAAGTGCTACTTACCCAGTCTTCCTTAATATTATATGCTCTGTTATATTTCTGCATCCGTACTACTGTTTCATCTATTTCAACAATACTCTAATTTCATCCGAACGACTCGTGTAAACGTGTCATTTTAATTGCACATATTTCCCTGCAATACTCACACCGTTGGACAGCTGAAGTCCCAGTAACGTCTGAAAATGCTGCTGCCAGTGTTACTGGTGCTTTTATTATCCAATTCGCGACAATTATCATGATTTGTCTCAGTCTCAATCGCGATCGAGCGAAACAGCTACCCATTCGAACAGACTTCTTTCTCCAACATAAATAACATCGGAAGACAATCTCATCACGGCAGTCTGAACACAGTACACGAGTCATTTGATTACCGCAGTCAAAAATAAAGGGACTTCTTAATAGTCTCGTCTGTTGTAGCCGCTCAGTTATCACGTTTTCCCTAAAATCCGCTGTAAACCGATCGTACGTAAGCATTAGGTACTGAAATTGCGCCGTGACCTTGAAATCTCACAAACATTTCTGATTTGCTCTTCCATAAATTAGAGCCTCGCCCCCTATATTGATCATCTAAAATGCTAATAAACGTTATTTAGCCAAATGGATGAGTGAATTTCGCACCAAATTCCGAGACCTGTTGTCTTATACCTGATTGGGTCTTGTATTACTTATAGTCTTGCGTAAAAAACATTTGCAATTCCATGATCTATTTTCAATATTTCATTAGTTTAAGTATCAGAATTTGTCAATATTTGTGCTACATATATAAGATTTGACAATTACTTATTCAGTGGTGATTCATTACTTTAATATGCCTATTATTACCTCAATTTATTTCTTTTGACTTTATATGTATTGAATATGATGTAATTTGTTATGTCCTTATACCTTGAGAATATATCACATGATATTAACAACAATTAGAGCACCAAGTTATTGACCAGATGAATGACGCATAAACCAATACGAGCATCCTGGATTCAACTCTGATTTCTTATTGAACCTTTGAGATAGTAGCTTCTTTGTCTAACCTAGCGATTCGGTCCAGAACACTAATATCAGCCTCCGCTATATGATTCGTGTAGTTCAGAGATACTTGGTCTATATGCAAGCAAATCAAACCGCATCATTCCATAACATAGAAAATAAGAACTATACAAATTCAAGCCAGAAGTGGCTGTGATTGTGAGAGACTGTGACTAATAAATTGAGAACACCTTAAGAATAGTAAATCATATAATAGTAGTTAGTACGTCAAGTGGAACACCTTCCCCCTTAATTTATTTCTTCTGACTTTATATGTGTTGAATGTAATGTAACCAACCAATCTTGAACGGGATTCCCCATTCAATAATCTGGCAAATCAAGATGAATAAGGCGAACGAAATATTTCTAATCAAATAGTTTTTTTCATCATAACTTTACACTAATAACATATATTTTCACAGTTGAAACGACCAGTCAATCGAAGTTCGACCATCATTAAAAAACTTGAGAGCACTGCATAGCCACTTCAATGTAGTATGGAACTTCACTATAGTGCAAATCCACAATCTCTCACTTGTAGCTGAAACCCAGAACCTTTGATCTTGTACTCGAAGATTTAAACTCCAGACCACTGATCCACCATTAAACATAGTTGGTGTCTAACTTCAATCATTCCATGATCTTACAAAATGCTTCATCTATCAACTTTAGTTACGTTTTTCATATCTCACTTCTTTCAGATGAATTCATATGGTTTGCTGATGAACCAAAAATTGATGCCATGGTAAATATGGAACAGAAAGTTTGTTTACATACACTTACAATAAATATTCGTGTACCAACAAGAAGTGATGACATAGACTCACAAATTCGACAAGGTAATTTGATTTTATATTGGAATAATTTCATTTTTTGTAATATAAATTCATTTGGTATTGTTTACTTGAATCTTCCTGTTCACATTTAAGACTGCAATTGATCAGTCTCTTATTGACATATGTGCATACTGTGCGTATTGCCTCGATATTGTCTTAAATCACAAAATTATAAGCAAAGACGAATGTACCTGCATCTCAGAGTTGATGTTCATTCCACGATTCGAACATGTACCGTTCGCTTTAAACGCCATCATGTTATTTACTTAGTTATTGAGTCCTGATAAACAAGTGAATTTAAATTCACCTTATTGTACAATCAAGCGGCTATCATGACTCAGTAGTTAAGTGGATAACACGATGTCGTTTGAAGCTGGGTTCGAGTCCTAGAATGAACATCAACTCTAAGATGCAGGTACATCCAGCTGAATAGTACCAATAGGACGAAATGAGCTTTGTCTTGAATTTCACTACTAGCCGCTATCCATCTTTATCTGTAGAGCATTCAAAAGAACCAATTTAACTACTCTTGAGGATCAGGTTATGTATATCTAAAACAAATATATTGTATTTAAGAAGAACTCCTATATTGTTAGCCAAGAATCAAAATAAAATAAGAAGAAACTCTATCTTGAGGAATTTAGCTGATGCTAGTAAGTTCAACTATGAAAGTTATCCATGAAATGGCAATGAACTTTCTCTAAGTCCCTAGAGTCCAGCTCTTACATACATTAGTAGCTACTAGAATACAGATTAATAAACCTAAAACACATGTACAGAAGTTTTTTATATTCTCTTAATTTATTATTACCCTCCTCATCTTAGTTACTGCGTTTTTCAAGATTTTTAATTTTTATTCAATTTAATTCATAACTTCATTTTATAGGATCTATCTATCTTAATAATGTGATTGCCTGATTAAATACGACGCATTGTATTATTGAACAAATCCTGACTAGTTTTTTAATAGTTGATATCATGCGTCAATTAAAGCAAGACCACTATGAAGAACTTGGAAGCACTGGACAACCGTTCTATTCTATTATGGGACTTCTCAAAAGTGCGCATCCACGACCTTGCCACACGGGATTCAAACCCAGGACTTATCGGTTTCACGCACGAACGCTTAACCTCTAGACCACTAAGTTGGATGGCATTCAACGGTGTTAATGTCTAACTTTTTATTAGTTAACTAACGCTCTTACCTGAAATCACTCAGTTAGTCACATAAAACGCAGAACCTGGTATTTATGAGCATTAAGTCAACTTACCATACAAAATTGAAACAGAGAAATGAAATTATTAGAACAAATATCCGAGTCTCGAAAATAGTAACAATATTACTGTTAGAAGAAACCACTAAATAGAGACAATGTTTCGAGAAGGAAGAATAAAAAGTATTAGTCAGTTTTAAAATGGAAGGATTAAATGAATCTGCATCAATTCTGATCCATGTCACCCAGTATCGCCAACCATTGGTTTCAATAATTTCAACTTTGTAGCTTGTATATACTAATATGGTTCAGTTCAACAGTCATTAACTTCACATACTGACCCTTTATATTCATTTGGTCAATCTTAGCTTTTTGTAAGCAATGATGGATAGTGGCTAGCAGTGGAATCGAGGATGCGCGTTTCGTCCTATTTGGGACTCGTCAGCTGAATGTGCCTGCATCTCAGAGTTGATGTTCACTCCACGAGTCGAACCCAGTACCATTCGCTTCAAACGCAATCGCGATATCCACTCAGCTGTTGAGTCCTGATAGCCACTTGCTTGTTCAATGGGTGAATTTAAATTCACTTGGTATTGTTTAGCTTGTATCTTCCCATACAACTGACGAGTCGCAAGTCGGACGAAACGCGCTTCCTGGATTCCACTGCTAGCCACTATCCATCATTGCTTACAAAAGGTTGTGAATTAAAGCAATATCGAGGCATACGCACAATATGTACATATGCCGATGACAGACTGACCAATTGCAGTGTTAAACCTCAATGGGAAGATACAAATCAAACAATCCCAAGTGAATCTTAGCTTTATTCCAACTTATTTCTATACCAATAAACATTCACTAACGAAATAGACATGGGTGAGTAAAACTGAACATATACCCTAATCAACTAAGTCAATAAAGATTCGAATTCTCATTGACCAGTTCATCTTCTTCATTACATATTACGTAATTTGTCTTTCCACTTTTTTTTATTTTATGAAGCTATGAATAATACACAATTAAGAAAATGTAGTCCAATCTGGTTAGTTCATCAATTAAGTGAAGATAATAAAGATTTTGAAACTATTCAAAAATTAGCATATTTTCTACCAGGTAGTTATTTAATGTTAGCTGGACAAGAAGTTGATTTGGTAAGTCAATTTATTTTTTTTTGGAATTAATAGGGAATAGAATTGTAACCTATTTTTCATAGTTGAGATTATGAGTCAATTGAAGTTAGACCACCATGGAAAAACTGGAAGCACTGGAGGACTGTTTCATTCTATTGTGAGACTCCTCAACAGTGCGCATCCACGATCTCACCCCCTGCAAGATTCGAACCCTAGGACCTGTCAGTTTCGCATGCAAGCGCTTAACTACTAGACCACTGAGACGGATGGCATGAATTTAAGAGACAAATTCACCATTGTCTTCAGCGAGTTACTATCTCACATCAGACCCGGTTGAACTCCATTGGTCACTGCTTCTGAGTAGAACTCCAGGAAATACCTTGGAGACGTCACTAGTGAGTATATGTTTCATAATATCATGTATTTCATTTTCTAATGGAAGTGATAGAATATTCAGTAATGGTTAATGTCATGTTAGTTTAGTCCTATATATTGATATAAGTTAATTGAGTCAATTTACAAAGTGATCGCTAAATGAAGTGACTTAACTTCGTGTGGATAAAATTTTGTGATTTTATGGTTTGGGAGTATTTGTCAGGAGAAATTTCGTGCTAGCTGCACCCAATTGACAAGGCATATTGCAACCTTGGGGGAAAACGATAATTCCTATTGCATTCAAACTGTGGATCAAGAAGCTTTATATACTAATGCATAACTGGTGAACTTTCGGGCTGGGAGTAACTTTCTTCGAGAATGAGATATTTATAATGATTAGTGGAATTTTATCAGTACTATAGGGTTAGATAATTATGAAATTATTCACTACCTATTCCTGAAGGCTTCTGGTTGCATTATGAATAGTTCAATTTTGATAAGCCTAAAGACATGAATGGTTTGAAGTCCTCCAGAAAACATCGGTTGCCTTAATAACTGTAGTGGTGTTCTTTTTGATGAATCTCAAGTAACAATAAATATAGGGAGTAAGTTTTATACCCACTATCATCAACCACTTATTCTCATATGAAACTGTTGTCGGTGAATGTATTCTCTTGATGCGCTATAAATTACTACTGAGTGTATTGGAATAAAAGACTAAGATATACTTTAGTGAACGAGAACACAACTAGGGATAATAAAATATATTTCAGCAAAATAATTACACATTCTCTTAGTAAAATCTGAAACCATACAGTAAATACTTCATTTGCAAAATATCAATCAATCGTCTCAGACTGTATTTCCATACAAATCATACTGTGGACACCCAGAGCCTTTGAGGTGATAGTCTAATCTACAAATCAATGAAGTAATGTCAAGAGATCCAATCACCAACAATAGATTCATACGTCATCTTTTTTACTTCAGGATTCTAAACACTATGTACACTAATTGATTTGTTATCAATGTTTTTCAACTCTCTCTGCCCCCAAATGCCCTGGTGCGGCCGAGAGTGGGGAGAGTCTGCTCTCTCTCTCTCCAAATGCTCTCGCATGGCCACGCGTATATAGCCTCTGTCAGGGAAGTCCTACTCACTGCCTTCTCCTACCAGGGGTGTTGTTTACGAAAATGAGAGGACGTAAAACGAATGTCCGGTGCTTTAACGGGGTTGGTGGACATGGAGAGTCCACCTGGGGAAGTTGGAAAACCCTGATTTCAAACCAATGGTGCAAATGGGCTGGCTCCAGTGTCCTGAAGAAACAAATGGCGTATGAACCAATTGTTGGTCACCAGCTTCCATGGGACCACATCTACTTACGTTGCTCCACTGCCTTGTGGGTCAGACCTTCAGGTCAAAGACTCCGAGTGTGGCCCCTTGAGAAAACTATCTGCTCCGATTTTGGCACCCGGACAGTATCACAGCCCTTACACATATCAAATAAGATTTGTGTGGCGCATATATATCTGGTGCTTCCTTGTACTAATATCTATATGTTGACATAAATAAAAAATAAACTCTCCTATATCCATCAGCTTTCATTAATATTTAATTGTTTTATAAATCTACTAGATATTCTCTTGATATTATTTGCTTGTATCTTCCCATTGAAATTTAAGACTATAATTAATCAATCAAATGAATTTAAAATTCATCCCATTACACAAACAAGTGGCTATCAAGACTTAATAGTTAAATGAATAATGCAATATCATTTGAAATGAATGGTTACTAGATTCCAGTCTTTAGAGTAAACATTAACTCTAAGATATGATAGGTAAATTTAGCTGAAGAGTCGTAAATAGGATGAAACACGCGCTTTATCCTAGATTCCATTGTTAGACACATTATCCATCTTTACTTATACTAAATATTTTGTCTTAGAGTGAACATTAACTCTAAGAATCGTAAATAGGATAAAAACATGCTTTATCCTCTGGATTTCATTATTAAACACATTATCCATCTTTGTTTATACTTGATATTTTATTTCTCTTTTTTCTTTTCTCTTTTATCATTGATTTCCTTTATTTTATTCTCTCTCTCTCTCTCTGTGTGTGTGTGTGTGTATATATATAGACTACTGGTAATCAACAATTGATCAAATGGTCCTATGAGAATTATTTAGATTATAATACTTATTGGCCAATTAATATAAATTTAATCAATAATGGTAAACAACGTTTATATCATTGGAAATTATTTATAAAAAAATCTTATAGTATTACATTATTAAATACCCCTAGTGATAAAAATCAATTAATCAGTTATATTCCTAAAACAACTTATAATTTATTGATTATTTATCGTCATTATATTAATACAATTTATCGTATTTATTTTATAGTTAGTTTTCAAACTTTAAATACTATGATATCATTTCAATCAATATTTTATGATATAAGTAGTTTATCTCAATTAAAAGTAGTATATGATTCAAAAAATTTATATTATAATAAAAAACAATTAAATAATGAATTATTAGTGAATAATCAAGTTTTATTACTTTATTATTATTAATAGTAATTTTACTATTATTATTATTATCATCACTAATACTACTATTACTATTACTATTAATGCTACTACTACTACTACTAATAACAATAATAGTAATACTATTACTATTACTACTACTACTACTATTACTATTACTGTAAGTATTACCATTACTATTACTACTACTATTACTATTAATACTATTGTTACCACTACTGCTACTACTACTACTACTAATAATAATAATAATAATCGTAGTACCAATCATTCGATTCGCGATCGTTTATGAACTAATGATACATGATTATTCAATGAATCTCCTTTTTTTTATTTATAAAGAAAGTGGATTTTATGAAGATTATAGCATTATTGAAAATGTAAAAGTATTGGATGATCATCTCATCTTTAATATGTGATACTTTAACAGTACATATTCATGATGTCATTTGTAGGATTCGAATGTGAAAACTTTAGATTGGTTGAGTTTTAAAGGTGCTAGCTTAGTCGATCAGAGGTTAAAATGTTCATGGATGAGATCGAAAGTGTTAGGTTCTTATCTTGAGAGTAAGATTATAAATGTTCACTACTGAAGAAGTCTCATATTAGGACGAAATGGTTGTCCAATGCTTTCAGGCTTTTTTTAAAAAAAAAATGATGATCTAGTTTTAATTGACTCATGAATTCAACTATTAATCTTCTTTTCAATATTTTGTAATCTCTCCCTTTTTTTAATTTCTTAGTTTATGAATCTAATTTCATTGAAATTGTACAAATATGATTCTTTATGTAAATAGATCATTTATAAAATAAAATTAAAAAAACTATCATATTCATGAGTTTTTATTTATTATTATTTATTTGAACACATAGATATTGGTACAAGGAGGCACCAAATACACATGCGCCACATAAATCTCATTTGATATGTGTGAAGGTTGTGATACTGTCCGGGTGCCCAAACCGAAGTAGGTGGTTTTCTTAGGGGGGTCACCCCCAGAGCCTTTGATCTAAAGGTCTGATCCACAAGACAGTGGAGCATCGTAAGGAGATGCGGTCACATGGTAGCCGGTGACCAACAATTGGTTCATACTCCATTTGTTCCTTCAGGATCCTGGAGCCAGCCCATGTGCACTGGACATTCGCTTTTCGTCCTCTCATTTTCGTAAGCAACAATAATGTCACGAGAAGGCAATGAGTAGAACTTCCCTACCAAAGGCTATATACGTGTGGCCATGTGAGAGCATTTGGAGAGGGAGAGCGGACTCTCCCGACTCTCGGCCGTACCAGGGCATTCGGAGGCATATGAATGAGTGATTATTCGTGAATACTATCTTTGTTTAGTCTTCTAATTGAATGGTTGATTCGGTTTCCCCAAGATCTTCTACTAACCTTAAGATTACATCTAAACAGCGTGGGCCGCCCGCCAGAATTCTCCATTCAACCCTGTCATAAGCAATCATTTATACTTGTTTCCAAATGCTACTCATTCTTCTCATGTCTGCTTCCAATTCTCGGCACAGTGTGTTATTCGGTCTTCCTCATTTCCGTTTCACTTCAAGATTCCAATTTAACGCTTACCTCGTCATGCAGTTTGATGATTTCTTCAATGTGTGTCCTATTCACTTCCAACGTCTTTTCCTTTTCAACTGGAAGTTGGTTTGTTCTCTCACATAATAGACAGTTGTTGATGGTATTCAGTCATCGGACATTGAGTATTTTGCGTAGACAACTATTCATAAATACCTGTACCGTTTTGATGATGGTTGTGGTAGTTCCCCAAGTTTCAGCTCCGTACTATAGAACTAACTGCCTTGAAGTTCATATTGAAAATTGTGACTTTGATATTGGTTGAAGGTTGTTTTGAGTTGCATATATTCTTCAACTGTAGGAATGCTGTTATTTCATTGCCAATCCTCACCTTTACGTCTACATCGGATCCTCGACGTTCATTGATGATACTGTCCAGGTATGTGAAAGATTCCACTTCTTCCAGAGATTATTCATCAAGTGTGATTGGATCTGTGTTCTCTGTGTTGTATTTGAGGATCTTGTTTTTCCTATTGTGTATGTTGAGGCCTATTGATGCATAGGCCGCTGCTATACTGGTTGCCTTGATCTGCGTTTGTCGTTGTGTATGGGATAGAAGGGCCAGGTTATTTGTGAAGTCCGAATCGTCTATTTGCATTCAAACTGTCTATTGTATTGCGTAATGTATACTAGTGATAAATTAAATGAATACTCAAGAAGGGATACGAACATATATGTAGTTTTGGAGTTACTAGTGACCTGTTTCAAGTTTAGTGCTCGAGTTTTGAATGATAATCCATACCAGTGAAGTTAAATCACGTTAGAAATGAGAAATTCTATCTTTAATATCAACAAATGATCAGCAGACTAGATTGCAAAGTAATGAGTGTTAGAGGTATCGGCAATTCTAATCTAACTCAAGATCATAACTTTATTGACAATCATTCGTAATCCATCTATGTTATTGGACAGCAATGTATATGTCTTCAATGGCTTTTTAATTGAAATGTAGTTTGTTGTCATGACTTTTAAGAGACGTTCTAGTAACTTCACATGAAACAACATTCTTTATGTAAAATTACCTCATCTGGATTTAAAGGCCTGTCAACAGAAAGAATCTGTGATGATTAGGAGTATTTGAATTAAGATACAAACTAGGAATCCTAGAAGTAACTCAATTTAACCAACAAGAACGATATGAGCACGACTGAATATATTGTATTGGGTATTCGAAATCAGTCAGTTATCAAGTTTGTACAAACATCGCATCCGACATAGCTTAACTTGGAGTCTAAGTTTTTGTAATCGATTGTACGTCTTCATCATGTGTCTGCCCTACAGTGTCAGTCAGTGGAAGAATAGGCAGAGAGGACGAAGAGGCAACGACGAATGTCCCTATCTTTCCGAGTCATACTGTTCCGTTTAGTCTGACAGTGCACGAATGATTGTCTAGGAGAGATAGGACTCAATGCTATACCTACACCAGCGAGACCACGGGAAACAGCATGAGGGCTTTCAGATACGTGAAGTCAGCAGTACGACTTCGCCCTCAGACTTTGAGTTGCTGCTTTTAGTCCTACCGTTCTCAAATTGACCTTCCTGGCATGGTAGAACCTACAGGAACATATGTTCCAGCCAATATAGCTTGGTTGGGTCATCACGATAGGCAAGCTCGACCACCACGTCAAGGTGGCAGCTACGGTCGGGTGTCCGACAGTGTATTGGATGTAGACTCTGTATTGTCTGGAATGTACGTCACTGGGTTCCAGTCTCACAGTGAACATCGATTCTGAGATGCAGGTACATCCAACCGACGAGTCCCAAATAGAACGAAACGCGCTTTGTCCTGCATTCCATTGCTAGCCATCATTCATCTTTGCTTATAAAGCTTGTGCCTTAAGGTAAAAAATCGAAGTCATACGCACAGTATACACATATGCTAATGAGAGACTGATCAATTGTCATTCTAAACATGAATGGGAAGATACAAGTAAGCAATACCAAGTGGATTTAAATCTGGATTCAAGCATATATATATAGCATAAATGTGTTCTGGGGAAGCGTGATCAATGACATTCAAGGTCCTCTCAAGTGAGAAATACGATAGGAAGGTGAAAATGAGCGCTTTTCGGCACGAAAACTGATAGCGGGATGTAGATTGGATTAAAGCATGCTCAATGCACGATTGCTTTGGTGCACGCTGATTGGGTAATTGTTGCCCAATCAGCGTTAGTCGAGACTTGAAGAATACTCTAGAAATGCTTTCATGTAAAAAGTATAAATATACTAACGTTTTTCCTATTATGCTAATTACTTCCATCTAACCTTGTTATTCGGAATATAATCGCTTTCCTGTTCAACAGTGTTCTGATTTGGGGACTTGTCAAGTGAATTGGTGTCCAAGAATACTAAGCAATGGGAATAGCTAGGTTATGATGTAAGAAAGAATCATAACAAAAACAAAAAAGAATTCGAATTTTTAAAATAAAGTTACAAAGATAAGATATCTACCAAGTGAGCTCTAAGGATCTAGCATCTCCACTATAGAGCATTTTTGACAATTGTATCAACGGTAGTGTAGAATCTTCATCGATGTTATCCGATACATAAATATTATCTATTGAAGAAGATAATGTCTTACTTCAACGTTCGGCTTATCTCAAGTGTACATGAAATGGTTTACAATTGGAAATAATAGCTTTTTTCTAGCAATCACAAGCAGTCATTGGTCGAAACACTATATCATAGAACTGAAATGATATATATCACCCAGTAAAAGCGGGAGAATCGACAATTGTCGAAGAGATCCTAAGACACAGCTAATACCCTTAGAATTTCATTGAGAAACACAGAAACGCTGTAAACAAGTGGACTGTGGTTTCAGTCACTAGAAAACCAGTCTATATTAATCTTTATTTTAAAGATGTTGTATGAGAAATCAGTAGAAGGTTAAACACTTTACTAAAGGGCATCTTAGTTATATCCAAGCGGCTAATCCTACAAGTGATAACATGTTCTATAGTATAAACAGAGATGGACAAGTACTTCTTCCATGTCACCAATTATATATATTTATATACCTATCAGACAAGCTAACCCAACTAGTGAAAATTAACTCATCTTATTCAATTCGGATATTCGTCATTGTTGATGAAAGTCTGTTGCTCTTTCTTTTATTCACCTGTAAGTTCACTGATAAAAGTGAACTAGATATTCAAACGAAGTTTCTAATTTTATGAAAGATTCAAAACACTAACCTTATATTTGAATTTCAAATAACAAAAACTGTGGTGTGTGCTACTTATGTTCACAGATATAAGTAATATGTATCATCATACACATTGTTAAATCTTAACATGCACACTGATTTCATGCTATTTTATGCAGTGATGAATTCAAGGTGTTGAACTAAAAGGAAATATGAATCAAAATATTAATAACCATTTTCATAATAATAGTTCATGTCAAATAGTGAGTATTGTCGACGGATAGAAATAGTGTGATGTGTAGCTGCTGAGCGCATATTGGATGTGGATGACTCAGTAGATCTCTGGAGCGCATTCATTGAACGTCACGGGTGCCGAGCGGAC